GTGTTTACTCACATATGCAAGACCAATGTATAATTTAAAGAATAAAACAGCATCACACAATATATGTGGTTTTGCAACCTAGCTACTCATTGAATGAATCATGAACATCTTTTTGTTAAATTTATTTGAATTATGGAATAATACATAGATACATTGTTTTTTAAAAGTTAGGACATTATAGGTAAAGCTAAGTCCACCTTGACCACCACCTCTAAACTTGGTCTCCTCCCTTATGCCTTAAGATAACTTCTCTGAGTTTAGTGCACGAGCTTTCAGATGATTAAAGATCTGTGCGTATGTGTACTCATGTATATTACAGTTTAGTATATGTGCTGCTGAAGTGAGCACTCATATATATTACATATATAGTATTATTTGACTTTGGGCTGTGTTCTTATATAAATTGTATATTACTATAAGGATTGCTCTGAAACTTGGCATTGCATTTCTGAGATCTATCTACATTTATGAACGTAGAGCTGGTTTATTCCTTGTAATTGCTGAATTGCATTCTGCCGCATTATATTTTCCCCTGCCATTATGGGTGGACCTTTTAGGTCATTTTCAGTTTCTTGCTATTAAGATGCTTCAATTAGCTTCCTATCCAGTCTTCTTGTACATATGTAAAAGTGGTTCCCTGGGTAGAGATCTGGAAGAAGAAACACTGTGTCAGAGGGTAGGCACATTTGCAGTTTTAATAGACTGTGCCAAAGAATCTTCCAAAGTGGTTGCCCTCGTTTATATTTTTCTAACAGTGTATGAGGGGAGTCTTTTCTCTGCCATATCATCAACAGTTGACTTTGCCAGTGTTTTAATTTTTGCATACCTGATGAATGAAAATATAATCATTTTGCTTTAGTTTGCATTTGGAAAATTTCCTTAATTAGATAGTGGAGCAATTTTCCTAAGTAGCTCTTGGAATTTCTGCCTGTTCATATTCTTATCTCAATTTTTCTTGCACTGTTTGTCTTTCTCTTATGATTTGTAGGAATCCTTGTGGATATCCCTTTGCCTAAATATTTACAGGTCTACTTGATTTTCTTGTTAATGGTTTTATAGTATTCAGCCTTTCACATCAATTCCTGAGGCCACATCTGGCCTTCATCAGTATCTGTCAATAAAGTTTGTACTTGGCCCCTTTAACATATTCTCCATGGCAGATTTCACTCACAACAGCAGACATAAATAGTTGCAACAGAAACCAGACTGTATTGCAGAAAAAGTTGGCCCTGATATAGATAAATCATAATTTGTTTAACCAACCCTCTTTTGGTGGATACAGACATAGCTTATTTCCCATTTTCCACTACTGTAGCCAATTGTATAATTAATATTATTGTATACGTACACTTTCCTCTGTAGACATGACCATTTCTATGGTCTGAAGTTTTGAACTTGCTGGTTTATTAGACTGCTGTATTTAGTGAGATTTATTCATTTGAACTAGTAATATATTTGAACTCAAGATTGTTTTTTAGTAGTGGAGATTAGACCCAGATCTATATCTCATCCCTTCTTATTTTTTATTTTGAGACAGGATCTTGCTAAGTTGCCCAGGGAGGACTGGAACTTGCAATCCTCCTATGTCAGCTCCTGAAAGTGCTGGGATTGCAGGCATGCACCATCATGCAGGCTGAATTTGGGAATATTTTTAAGAAGTGTAGTTATTTCACAAGGGATAGTGACAGCTTTCTATTATGTAGTACCTATGAGTTACCAGACAGTAGGTGACTTCCATCTTATTTAATCCTTCCAATAATTCTGAAATTGGTATTAAAAACTGCTTTTCACATGAGAAACTTGAGGGTCAGGGAAGTTAAATAGTTTGTCTGAGGCCACAGAAGTGGTACATGATGGAGCCAAGATCTGAACCCACTTCTCTGACTTCAGAGCCCCCATATTTTCTACTACACAGTGTTGTCTTTCAGGGAAAAGCTAGGTGTGCAAACAATTGGCACAACACAGTCTTACAAGTAGTAATTTTGCATATTTGTTCTCAGTTAAATGAACAGGTAACAACATTTGTAATTAATGCAGTAGGTTTCTATAGACAGATGGGTTAGATTAAAGTAATTTTATAGACTCTTAAAAACTGTTGGCTTTCTTAAGGAAGCTAAACATTTCTTTTGCAATCTTATTTATGCTTCTATAAATAAAGGCACAGCTGTGATGTAGTGGGAAGAATACTGGATTTAGAAATCCAAATTTGGAAAAAAACCCCATCATTTCTGCTGCTTCTTGAGGCTGCTGTGGCACTGTGGGCAAGCTTTCTACCCTCTCTGTATCACAGTTTGTTCACAGAGTTGTGAGAAATCAGTGCGAATCACGGAAGTACTTGATCCCAGTGTAATAAAAGTATAATCTATGAAGGTCCTTGTGCCCAGAGGATATTTCAAGAGAGAAGGTTCAAGCTGATGAACCCCAGGTTCACGTCTGTGAGCTTGCTTCAAGGTTTAAATTCTGCCTTCTTAGAAATCCTAATGCCATGCCTTTGACCTGATACTGAGAGATGCCAGGTGCCATCCACTGCCATGAATGTACATAATGCTGTGGATATTAAAGAGAAGCCAGGCGATGGCGATGACCTGCCCTCGTATTTAAATACAGTGGACCTTCAAGTTATGACCAGCCTGACAGATGAACAACTTGGGTTAAGACCAGAATTTTAGTTTTAACTTACAAAGTCTTGAGTTACAACCCGAATGCCAGCCACTTGTGCTTCCAGATGGTCTCAGATACAGATTTAACCCTGTTCTGGAAGGAACATTATAACATCCTTTCCTGTGTGGGGTTAATTGAGAAATCCTGGGCCAGTGTCTAAGGACATTGAGACCTGCCTGTATATAGGAGAGAGACTTGGAAGGCTGTGTAATGGATCTTGAGCCTTCATTGACCAACTTGAGTTACACCCAGCCCTTGGGAATGAATTGAGTTCATAAGTCAAGGGTCCACTCTATTCTTAAGTCTGGACTATGTGCTGAAAACCTTAATACTAACAGCTAGCATTTATTAGACATTTGTTGTATCCAGAGACCATGTGCTGACACTTAGGTCTGAGCACTTACACACCGTGCACTCCTTTCTCCCTCAGCTGGGAAACCTCCAAGGCAGAGTTCATTGCTAGGACTAGGTATGCGCTTATTCCAGCTGTAGGCTTCAGGCTGGAAGGATAGAACCTCTTGAGGTTGCAGGCTAATGGACTTGGGTATATGCTCAATAACTCTTTCTTGGCATCCAGAGGAGGAATATTTTTCTTGGCCATCTGGTGCTACAAGTTACTATGTCTGCCTTAGATGTACTGATTTTGCCTGAGATCTCAGGGTGCCTCCCTAAACACTAAAAAGCAAAAGCTGACATCTGACCATTTTTCTTTGCTTGCTGCCTTTCTCCTGTTAAAGGAATCTCTCACTCCATGTTGATGTCTAGCATCCATGTCAGAACCAGATCAATTTGTATGTGCCACTCTGTTGAGACTGCTGTCATTTTTTGGTTTTAGCTGCCTCCCTGACTATCGTGTTTGCAATGTAAGCTCCAAATGGCCTGGAACTCGTCTTTTATGGCTTCTGCCAGATTAAACATTGAGAACGTAATACACCCGCTTCAAAAACAATTGCGCCGTCTTCCAGCCAAGCAGCATATTGGTTTCAATTTAGTCAACTGTACACGTTTTCATGTCTTAGAAGGAAACCTGGGGCTGTAGGTGCTCGGGCATGTGGCCCTGCCCCTGTCCTTCCAAGTCTCCACTGGGGGCTGAAGGAGCCTGTAGGTCCTGGGTTGAAAGCAGAGGCCTCCTTCAATGCACTGTATTTTCCCTTTTGGAATTAAGATCAGCTCAACTCAGTTCTGAGACTGCTATGAAGTAGAAAAGCAGCAAAGTAATGTGGAAATAGATAATGTAGGGAGAACAGGGTTCAGATCTTTGCCTTTCTACGGAATGGCACATGACTTTGGGCATGTCTTCTCACTCTCTAGACTTTGGGCTTTTCACCAGTAGGCAGAGTATTGAGGACATGTGACTCACAAAGCAGATGCTATCAATAATTAATCACATGCTAGAAGATCCTCAATAAAAATGTGGTGGGAAAAGTGGTTGTTATGTTTAGATCAAGAATGTCCTCCAAAAGTCTTATGAGGAAGGACTTTTGGAAGGTGATTGGATTGTGGGAATTCTATACTCAGCAGTGGATTAATCCATTGAGAATTCAGTAGTTAAATGTGCTGTTAGGAGGTGGGTCACTGGGGGTGTGGCCTGGTAGGGTGTATTCTTATCTCCAGCTCCTCCTCTAGCTTGCTGCTTCCTGGCTGCCATTTGGTGAGCAGCTTTTCTTCACCATGCTTTTCCACTATGCCTATTCTGCCTTGGAACCAGTCAACCATGGGCTGAAACCATGGACTGAAACTATAAGCCCAAATGAACCTCTTCTCCTTTAAGTTTCAAGTGTTGGATATTTTGTCCCAGGGATGGGAAAATGCCTAACTCAGTGGACTAGTCTGCCAAGGCATGTAATGGTTTTTGTCAAGTGACTAATCATGGCAAAATATTTTAATGCCCAAGAAGGGATTTCTTTTACCCCAAAGAGGCATTGATCAGTCAGCCACTGCACAGAGAGTGGGGCCTGGTATATTTTGATAAAATAACAGCTGATGGTGTATAGCTTTATCTGTTAGTCCAGGATTCAGTCCTAAACACTAGACCCTGCTGCAACTTCTATGGATTCATTTGGCATGCACTTGTAGGGTTTTCGCCCTGCCTCAGGCTCTGGACTAGGTGCTATAACACAGCACTGAGGAAGGCAATATTTGCCTGTGAGGAACTGCCCATTTAAGGTGGAAGACAAACACACAGAAAGCCGATTTCAATGCAGCACTCTGGTGACTGTTCCCAGAGAACATCTGTCAAGGCCAGGAGGCTGCTCTGTCTCCTTGTTTTGTATTGTTATCAGGGACAAATCATAGTAGTATCACTGCTAGGAATTAAAGCTTAACTGTAGTGGTTTAAACACATTAGTTGGTTGTTTTTTGACTTTTAAAAGAATCCACATCAACAAGCCAAGAGGGAGAAGAGAAGAGGTCAAGGGACAAAAGTGTCCACTCTCAGCGGAGTCAGCCCTCTTTCCAGTGGTTTTGCAGGAGCCCTTATTATTCGCCTCTTGTTGAGACTCCCTTGAACACTTCATTCCCCTCTGGTAAGTAGGAGGGAACAGTGGTTATTGGGTAGACAGCTAATGGCCATTACAACACCCACCCAATAGAACTTTAGCCTTTTCTACCTCCTTGAGCTTTCCAGCATCTATTGAAAGCCAAAGATGGATGAAGGAGATGTCAGGCTGGATGAATGATGAAGTTTTGTGGCACAAAGTGGGATACATGTCCTTTCAATGGCATGCTAAATGTTGATTTGTGTTCCTGGAATGATGAATGAGAACTAAAGGGTGAAAGATGAGGATGAAAGGGAATGTCTGAGCTGATTTGGAGGCTAACTTAGAAGGAAGAGGCTAGGCATTGGCAATAAAGCAAGTGGGCAGCCACATTTTCTACAATCAGAAAAGTTGATTTTCCTGTCTTTAACTATGAGAGAGAAAGCAAGAGAGAATACAAGGAGGTAGTTGATATTCTGGGGCTATTACTTTGGCTAAGATGTCTTGACTGGAATCTATAGCATCAGTTAAAGGAATTTTGTTACTTCAGCAAACTTCCTGAGAGGCCCCAAACTGCTACAGTGAGTGTCAGCTCTCAGAAATGAGCCTGGAAGTCATGCTATCGTCCTCTGGCGTTCTTAAATTGACCTGTCATGATAGTTTGAAGCAATTGTGTCTTTCAGATCAGAATAATTTTACGTCTTGAAAAGCTTCTAGCTTTAGTTGCAGAGAAATTAAATCAGAATAACAGATAGCATGTGATAAGTGAAAATCTAACTTTGCCTCCCTATAGAGAAATTGCTAAATGTCAGCCAAAAATGAATGCTGCAGGATCTTGGAGAATCTGACAAATGATGGACACTGATAGCCCATTCTGTGGCGAGTTACTCAGAGGTAAGGGGAGAGCAAGGCAACAAGGGGCTATTGTTTCACTCACACCCCTCTCGGCTTCCTTCATACTCAGGGACGACTTGGCCACACTGCTACTGTGGACATTTATGTGGCCAACCTCCTGTCCTCTGTGCCTACTGCCACTCCACAGACACCCCAAACTCTGCATGCCCAAAACTGTAGAGTTTATCATCTCCCTTCCTAGACTGTTCTTCTTCTAAGTTAGAATCTGCATAGCATACTTGACTCCACCCCATACCCTCAATTCTCATTGATCACCAAGTCCCACTAACTTGGACAGAAGATGACTGCCTCTCTGTCACAGTGGAGCTGGCCTGGGCTTCTGGCTAAGTGTAGAGGCTGTCTGATATCGTGGGACAAAGAGATTGTTCCCTGTGCTTCCAGGAAATGACAGAGGGGATTTTCCTGGATTAGCAGGGTCACTAGGTGGGTTTTTTGCTGAGTGGAGCCACTACATGACCACCAAGTCTTTCTAGTCAATGTTTCCCCTTTGCTTCTCAAGTGGAGGCTGAGAGGACTTAGTGAGAACTCTCAGTTGGTTGGAGAAGCTGGCTGTGGATTCCAGCCTGAAGATGCGGACATGTCTCCTGCCATGTGGTGCTGTCAGCCGCCTTCTCCAGTGTGACCAGTTGGTGGCCAAGATGCTGAGCCCTGACAGGATCTGGTGGGTCCGCTGTTCCTTGATTCTGATTCCCAAGGCTTCTTGTGGGCCAGGCAGTGGGCATCTCCTGCCAAAGGTCCAGAACCATGGAGAGCTAGGTGTTGGCCTCGAGCTCCTTCTTCCCTTGTAGGGCCATATGGGGCCTCTCTTTGCAGGCAGAGCTGGCTGGGCTGGTGCCAAGTCAAGAGAAGCCATCTCTGTGCCTTGCCCTTCCACGAGACTCTTCTCAGTCTTGTGCTCCAAGGGGGATTTCAGCGGCAATCCTGAGATCTGGACTAGAATTCTTTCCTGTGGATAATGACTAGGTGACTTTCTACGTGGAACAAAGCCAAGATCTCCCATCCTACCATCTTGCTTCCTCCCCACTCCCACTACCCAGCACCTGGTTCAGACTTTCTTCCATTCTCTACCAATCTTTGAACTGATCTCCCTGCCTTCCTGATCTGTCTTTATGCACAGTGATGGTATAATATCTGTTATAAATTCTACAGTGTTTCCTTTAGCCATACGTGACAACACCCAATCTCTTTAAACATGGTTCCCTTCAGTCATCTATTGTAAGAGGTGGTGGAACACAGCTTTTAAAGTACAGCTCCAGACCAGCCTGCATTGGCAGGAATCTGGCTTCACCACTTGCTGTGTGATTTGGGGCAGACATGCTTCCTCCAACTTAGTTTTCTAATCTATAAAATGGGGTTGATAATCTTTTCTGATTACACTACTGTGGGAATTAAGAGAATAAATGAATGAGTGAGAATGAATGAACACACACACAATAGTGCCAGCTACATACGCATTTGCTAGTGTGACTTCTTTCCCCAGGCTCTGCTCTACATCAGCTGTGTTTTTCTCCTTTCTATGTAGGTTCTTCTCTCAGTCCTTCATCCCTCATGTTTGTAAGCCAGGCCTTGTTCACAATGACCTTTCCACCTTGAAGTCCTCTCCACCTCTATCTGGCCAACTCGCAGCCATCTTGACACATAGTTCAGGAAGATCCTTGCAGCCCTCTATGACATCCTGGGTGCATCCCCAGCTTCCCATTTTCATCTTTGTACACCAGTCTCCTTCCCCAGCATTTCCCTCCCTAGCTGAAAAAGAGGAGGAGTTCAGTCTTACTCATTTTTAAAAATTGCCTGCCCCTAGCTCAGTGACTGTTACTGAGAAGAAATGCAGTAAAAATTTGTGGACTGTAAGATATTATGGCACTAATAAAACCCCCACGGTCAGAGCTCTCTTTCTAAACATAGATGTGTTGACAACTTTACCCAAAAATGTTTATTCTGAAAAAAATGAAGGTTATAGTCAGAATAAACCACAAGACTTATAGCCTGCTTCTTATTTGCAGGGACAGAGAGAACCTGATTTGGGAGCTGTCCCTGGCAAGTGACCAAGATAGCCTAAGGTAAAGTAGCCAGAGAGAGGACAGAAATCATCATAAGAAAGGAGCAGCAGAGCCCCAACTAGGTGTCTTCCTGTTCTGTTAGCCCAATGACAAAGGGAGCAACTGCCTTAACTCTGTGACAAGTAGCCCTGCCAACTCAGACTCATCTGCTCCCTGGAAACATTTTGGTGAAGTCTCAAAAGGTGCTGCCTCAAGTACTGCCTGCTCTGAGTAGCTCAGGAGCTGGGGTTCAGGTGGCCAGACAAGCTGTGGGCTGCTTTTCCCTGTCAGGAGACAACAGTGATTTCAGGTGACAAAGCTATCAGTCACTTCCCCATGAAATCGTTACTGGGTAAGAAAGCTCCACCATGGGGCAATGACTCCCCATCTTGGCTGTTCATTAGAATCAACTAGGGAGTCTTTGAATATTTCCATGTCTGGCAGTACTTGTAATGGATGGAATCAGAATGTCTGGTAGTGGCACCCAGTGTCAGTGCTTATTAAAACTGTCCCAGAAGTTCCCATGTGTAGCAAGGGGGAAAGCCACTGCTTGTGGGTGCTGAGGTGGTAGGGAGAAAGAATTAAACTAATTTGCTTCTGGACCTGATGTTCTTCCTTTTAACCAAGGGTTAGAGAGCAAGCCACTTTCCCATTCTACACCCCTCTCTGCAGATGGGCAGACAGGCAGAAAGGTGATCTTCTGCCTATGAGTAATCTAACAGTTTTTTCATGATTATTTCCTAAACAGGTGATCACATGATGGGTCTGCTGGATAGAGGTCTTCCAACCAGCCCATGACATTCATTTTCTGGAGAGAATATTAGAATTGGAGAAGGTTGTGTCATTATTCTAAGATTCCTTAAGGAGGGCAATGGGAGCAGAAGTGAACCTCCAATTCAGGAAGCAGTGGGAGCTCCACTTCACCTAACTCTCAGCTGTCCTTAAGTGTGAACTGAAACTGGTGAGTAATTTTCTTAGAGGAGTCCAGGAGCAGCCGATATGTTTAAGACCATCACTAGCAGGAGATCAAGCCAGTTAATGATTCCTTCTTCTTGTCTTAGTAACTTTCCCATCACTGGGACAAAATACTCAATACCTGCAACTTAAAAGAGGAGGGTTTTATTTTGGCTCACAGTTTCTAGTGGATTCAGTCCAAAGACAGCTGGCTCAAAGGCAGAAAGGATGTGAGAGAAAGACCTGGTGGAGGACAGATGTTCATCACATCACATAGCAGCCAGGGGGGAGAGAGAGAGAGAGAGAGAGAGAGAGAGAGAGAGGGAGTCACACCCCCAGTGATCCACCTCTAACCACGCCTAACCTCCTAACAGCACATTTAGTTACTGAACACATCAATGGATGAATCTACTAGTCAGTAAAGTGCCCCGTGATCCAATCACCTTCCAAACACATGAGAAGTTTGGAGTATATTTTAAATCTAAACCACACATTCCACTTCTGGCTTCCAGAAGCTTCTTGTCCAAATTATCATGTAAATGCATTTGGTCCATTGCTAAGTCATCAAAATCTTAACAGTTGCAGCACTGCTGAAAAATCCAAGTCCAAAGTCTCCCCTGAGATTCAAGGCAAACTTAGTGGTGAATCGATGTGAAAATTAAAAAGAAAGTTAAATATTTTCAGCATACAATGACATGGGATAAAGTTTCCATTTCAAAAGAGAGTAATAGGGGAGTAGGGAAGCAATAGAGGAATTGGATCAGAAATTTTTTTTTTTTTTTTTTTTGGTACCGGGGATCAAACTTGGGTCCTTCTGCTTGCGAGGCAGGCGGTGGAGCCACTGAGCTAGATCCCCGGCCCAAGGAATTGGATCAAATCAAGACAAAGTATGCATCAGGGCAAACAGAATCCTGTAGTTCCATATCAAACACCTAGGGTAGGTTGTGGTGAGATGTGCACTCCAAAGGGCTTGGGCAGGCCTGGCTCTATGGCTTTGGCAGTTATAGCCCATGTGGCCTCTCTCTTTGGCTGGCTCTGCTCATTGGATTTCCTCAAACATTTGAAGTTCCTGGCTTTTCCAATTTCCTGAGGTCTCCGCTGTACTTTTGAATTCACTGTCACAGTTTCATGCACTGCTAAGTGAGGGGCACACTGCTTAGCCTTCCAGGCCTTCCTTTGAAATCTGGGTGGAAGCCTCCATAACTCCACAACCATTGCATTCTGCATGCCTGAAAAACCTGTACTATATGAAGATGCCAAGGCCTGTCACCAATACCCTCCCCCCTCAATCATGAGTGTAAGGGCCTCTGTGTGCCTGGATGACTAAACACTGTGAAATGAATCCCTGGGAATCAATTCCCTAGATTGCCCTTCTGGAGCAGGGGACCCAGGGTGCTCTTTGAAAATAAAAGCCTTACAGTTTTGCATCCTCGAGTCTGCAAAGGCTTGTTGATTCCTGAGATGATTTCAAGCCATCTTTCTTATTGTCCTAATGAAAAAATTTGGTTACTTTTTATTGGTAATCTTTTTAGTTACAAACCTCTTCTGGTCCCCAACTTTATAGACCCTTCATAGGCTACCAGAAAAAAATTCAAATTATTCAGTTCTGCTTTTTGATCCCGATTTTCATTGTAGGTCTTGTTAAAAGAAGCCAGCAGTACCCATGCCACAGTCAGAACATCAGGCTACTTTGAAATTTCTTTTTCTAGATTAACTAGTCTACCACCCTTAAATTTAGCCTTACTCAAAGTCTTAGGACATGGGCAAATATAGGCTTTTTTTTTTTTTTTTGCCAGAATGTAACATGCATGGTCTCTAGTCCAGTTGTCAATAGAGTCCTCATTCCCAGGTAAAATCTCATGAGCCTAGCCTTTACTGTTCACATTTCTATCAGCATTCTGGCCTTCTGAACTCTAATCAGACTATCTAATCAAGGTCTGCTTACAGCAATTTAGAGTTTCTCTAATTTTTTACAAACTCCTCCTGCTTAAAAAAAGACTTCTGAACTACATGTCCAGGTAGAATCATAATGACTTCATTTTCCTGGTACCAAGATTTGTCCAGAAGTCCATGTTGATGTCCACTATGATAAGAGATAACATTTCCCTAGTTTTCTTTCTCTTTTCCCTTTTTCTCCTTGTCTCCCTCCCCCCCCCCTCTTTCACAGTTATTGAGTACTTACTGTGTGCTAGGTGCTATTCACCAAGTATCACAATATGAACAAAACAGATACAATTCTTTGTATAATGGAATTTGTAGTCAATTAGGGAAGATACATCATCAATATGAAAGTTTAAATTATAAACTGTTCTATACAGTAAAAGAACAGGGTAACATGTAAGAAAAATTTTATATTGGGCTTATGAGAAGATAAAATTTCAGCCAGTACCTAGAGAGTAAGAAAGGAGTCAGTCATTTGGAATGATGGGAAGTATATACGTAGGATGAGGACACAACATGTGCTAAGGATACATAGCAGAAAAACACTTAGCATTTCTACTCCAGTGTCTTCCCAAACATTCTCTGATTATCTACTCTCTGCCAGACTGTGTGCTAGGGATAAAAATATAGAGATGAGAGCTGGCCATGATGGTGCTCACCCACAGTCCCAATTTCTTGGGAGGCTGAAGCTAGAGGATCACTTGAGCTCAGCATTTGGGGTCAGCTTGGGTAACATAGTGAGACTTCATCTCTTAAAAATGAACATAAAATATATAAGGTATGGACCCTATATCCAAGGAACTTACAATTCAATAGGGAGATAGTATATAAAGAAGTAGATTGCAATAACCAAACTTTAGCAGAGCCCCCAGGTGAGCAAATGAAATTCTGCTCAATGTATGAAAGGGTCTGTATATGTGGTGGTGATCAGAAGTCTCAGCAGAGAGATGACAGACTTTGAAGGGAGATATATGTGCATTGAATATCTGGAAAGAATTTTCCAGGAAGATGGTGGAAAAGGCTCCAGTTACCAGGAGCCACATGAGTAGTGTCATGGAGGCATCAGAGGGTGTGGTAAGTGTGGGGAACAGGAAGTTTGATGCAGTGGGGGCCCCAAATGGGAGCATGTGCTGTGATGGAGGTGTGGCTGGAGACAGAGCTGCTAAATGAATGACATTAGGGATTTGCTCTGGGTTGCTTGGCAACAAGGAAGCTAGGATGGATGACTCTGTGCTCTCAGAAGAGGCTGCAATTCCCAGGGGACCTGAATAAGCTCTACCCCACCTCAGTCACAGATAAATGTGCCTGAATTCAATTCCACAGAATGGAGGTGTCAGGACTCTAGGTGCTGGGCAGCTGGCACCTCCTAGCACCCCTATATACCTGGCACTTCAACGAGAGCCATTGGTGCCTGAGTCCTAAATATTTTTCCCCTCTCTTTCTAGGGCAAAGCCATTTTCATATTTGCTCTCTACAAATAAAGAACAAACGAATAAAGCCCCGTGAGGCCCACAGTAGGTACAGCTGAGCTGCTGCCCAAGCCTCCTGCTCTGCAGGATGCGAGGAGGATGGGGAGAGCACACCTGCTCATTCCCTGCCCACAAGTTCCAGATACTCCAGGGGATGCTTCTTTCTGTTCTCCCAAGCCCTTCGCTGTAACTAGGATGATGGCTTAGGGAGAATGTGGAGAGAAGTGTGTATGAGTTGGAGGGTTAAGTTTGAAAGGGTCTTGTGGGTCATCATTGTTTAGGAAACTAAACTTTATTCTTAGAAAATGAGGAGCCAGAGAAGCAGTTTCAGCATGGGAAGGTCCTGATCCAATCTGTGCTTTTGAAAGACTTTCCTGTTGGCTAAGGTGAAGGATGGACTGTGAAGGAGTGGTACTCCACACCAGAGTTCACGGGAGTATCAGCTCTTTGAGGGTCAGAGGAGGATTTGTCTCTTTTGTTCACAACTTTATCTTCAGGGTCTAACTGTGCCTAATATGTGGTTACTGTTCAATAAATACTTGGTGAACTGATGAAAACAGTTAGGAACCTATTGCCCTGGACCAGGTAAGAGATGATGTCTAAACTTGAACAGTGAGTGGCCTGGGGATGGAGAGTCAGAAATATTGAGAGTTTGGCAATGGAGAAGCGCAGCTGGATTACCAGATGGAATTGTTTTACTCATTCAGTCCAGCACCAAGCACAGAGAATTCAGCAGCCAGGCTACAGGGAGGTAAGGACTGTTGGTTGACTTGAGATTTTCTGTTTTCCATCCTGGGGTTCGGGTTTCTAGACCAAGAAATCATTGGTGCTTCCTCTCCAGGAAGTCTGGCCTGGTTATCATTCTGCCCTAAGTAAAACCTGTGACATTATGGCTTCCAGATACAGCCACCTGAGGGAACTGATGCTGTGTTTTCTGTCAATCAGGTTAGAAAAACTACTTTCAGAGTGCCATTGTCTGATATATTTTTGTATTTAAAATATAAAAGGACATTGGTAAAATAAACTATTCTCCCTGGCTGCTTCCAAAATTTAACCTCTTGTACTGCCAGGGTCCCCTGATACCTTCCAGTAACCCATGCAAAAGAATTCCCTGGTTGGGTCTCTATGTAGGTAAATAATTTTCTTCATCTGCTTAGTTACTATGGTTTTGGGGTGATTTGGGCAGGTGGTTTCTGTTGTGGCCTAGAACATAGTTTCCATTTTAGATGGAAAAATCAATCAGATGCTTAGCTAAAAGCAACAGAAATACGTTTTGTTTAATAGAAGCAGAAAAAAGATTAAAATATTTTTATTGTGGTAAATCACTAAATTTGCAATTTAAACTAGTTTTAAATGTGCAGTTCAGTGGCATTGATTATATTTACAATCTTGTACAACCATCACCACTATTTATTGCCTAAATTTTTTAATACTCTGATAAAAGTTATTCATTTAAGCAGTAACTCCCCATCCTTCTGTTCCCACAACTCCTAGTAACATGTATCTACTTTGTTTCTCTGTGAATTCTCCTTTTATCTATATTTCATACAAACAGCATGATATAACATTTGTCCTTTTGTGTCTGGCTTACTTCACTAACATAAAATCTTCAAGATTTATCCATATTTTATCGTGTATCAGAACTTCATTCCTTTTAATGGCTGGATGATATTCCACTGTTTGTATACATCATATTTTTTATCCAAGAAAAGCAGTTTTATACAGAGTCTAGAGGAGGTTCTAGAAAACAAATTCTGGGGCCCATCTTAGTGAATTTCCTTGTTGCTGGACACAACACTCAACACCTGCAACTTGAGGAAGGAGAGGTTTATTTTGGCTCACGGTTTTAGTCCATAGTTGGCCAGCTCCATGACAGGATGGCATGGTGGAAGGATCT